TAATGGCTTACATTTGCATATCAAAGGTTGCCAGCCTGGCTCTAAGAGCCAGGGCTTTGTAAGAAACTTTTCCAGAGATGCTTTAAAAAACAAAAACTTCCCAAGGACCCCTTTTCCTCTCTATCTGCCTAAAATAATTTCTTAATAACTCCTACAACATTACTCCCTGTGGAGACACCACACTAACTGCTGTTAGGGGATTTTGGGCGGCGACTCCTTCTGGCTACTTCCTGCTGAAAAGGGGCGTCAAATGGGGAACAGCAGCTAGGGCTCCTCCTGGGATCGATCTAAGGGTCCTCGGAAGAATGGCCTGTCTATGTGTGGTTCAGTTTACAGCACCATTTGGAGTTTGATTGCTTCTAGGCGAGAAGAAACAATTCGAGTTATAGTATTGTGTATACAGGGTCCAAATATCAATACAAGACATATAAGCAAGAGAGGGCTTAATAAAGGGGTTAACCAATTCCATAAAGAAGACTGGAATTTCTTAAAGAGGGTTTGTAGCCACTCGAGGCTGAAGCCGGCATTTTCCCTGAGCCTGTCAATAATTTTGATTTGATTTTTAAGTACCTGTAAATTTTCCTTTACTAGAGGTATAAATCCAAAAGCAGCATGTTTCATTTAAAACTGCGTCACTAAACCCAGTAAAAAGTCCTACCAGACTCAGTGATAGTAAAACTTTCATGCTTCCTTTTTGTTAGTAACTATTATCTCTGCTATAAGGATAATAATTAAGCAAAATACGACAGCGATGGAAACTCTCTGTTTAATATTTCAGTTAGAAGGTGCTACTGTGTATAACCCTTTTGCAAATAATAGAGTGAGTATAACAATTTCCATAAGTGTGGTGTGGTAGATAATTTTCATCTAAAATTTTACTTGTCAAGATATAGAATTCCCCTTTGGGGAGGTCTATGAAGTTTCTTGCTTTTATTTTCCTAAACAAAGAAACCTCCGGGTTATGGGCACCCTACCCACTTTTATTACCTGGCAGAATTTGCAGGATAATTGCCCAGAACCAGTATATTGATCCGGATTTTTACATTACCCATCCCTTATTTTTTCTTCCAAGCTGCAGGAGATCACTACTTGATTCACAGGAATAAGCAGGGTTAGTCTAAAATGTAGACGAAAAGCTTGAAAACAATTAATGAGACTAGGACTTAATGACAAATGTATGATAAGCTTTGGAGCACCATTTTTCTCTCTAGTCCTCATTTTTGGTAAAAACAAATTGTGAATAAACTGTAGTCTTATATTTGTCCTGATTATTTGCATAAAGTGCAGCAAGAATGGTTATTTCTACATAGGCCTTTTGGATTGGCTTTGATGAAACTGTTTCACAAGGAATTTCAGATAAGACTTTTAAAGCCGAGCCTAGCAATGGGTTTGTATCCTCAAATACCTGTGGACTGGGTGATCCTCTCCTCTTGAGGTCCCAAGATAAACTCGGAGCTTCCAGACCTGTTAGAAAGTGACATTCTTTACTGACCACAGGTTAGGAACCCTGTGCAGGGACTGTGTAGACAAGGTATGAGGCCAGTTCTCCCCAAGGGGTTTTTATTGGCTCTGCATGTCAAGCTTGATTCCTTAAAGAGAAACACACCCTTTCAGTTAAAGCCTTGGTAAAATAACCAGTTTTTCCAATTGTGTCCCGCTGATAAAGAAAAATGGATTCTTATTGCACCGATGCAAACAACTATATTGCCATAAGTTAAGAGTACTCACAGATAGTTTCCAAATTCCAGAGGAACCAGGCAGAGAAATAAACATGCTCTAAATTTTGTTCATAGGAGTATACCTTACTCAATTATTAAAGGCCATGAATAGTTTAAAATAAGTTTCTCCTTGACTCTGAAAAACAAAACAAGGATCAGCAGTATTCCAAGCAAAAGATAAAAGGCTTGCTTTAACTTTCTGAGTGCAGCTCATTTAGTTAACTCTTGTTTTGCTTGATATTTGTGACCATGTCAGTTCTTTAAAAGTTTCCTATGTTCTTTCTCTATTCCAATGTTACAATCTGTAAAGCTATTAAAAACCTGCATTTGAGAAAACCTGTTAAAGTTCTTAATATAGCCTCATTATAAACTGTCTTTTAAGAAGGAACAAAACAAGACAATTGTCTGCGAATGGCAACATTTCCGGGGTAGTTACAATTAAAAACATGACTGACAAAAGAAATTTGTGTATATCCATGGTTTACAATAACTTTACCTTTAATTATGATTGACAGCATATACTTAAGACATTAGAATTTTAGAAATCCTGTACAATTTTTGAACATATATTAGTATTATTCACCAAAATATAACTTAAAGAAGATTGGACATCATTTTGGCAATCTCATGTGACTAAACATGCCAAATAATCCTGTTTACTTCTTTTTTAAAATGTTTCAGAGGCCCTATGAACCATCCAAAAAGCCAGGCGTTAGCAAGGACAATTCCCAGACTGCCATAAATTATTTTGCCAAAATGATGACTTGAAAGGCAAAAACATTTTATTAGCCTTTACTATGACACGGAAATCCTGTTTAAAGCCAAGTTTTACCCTTGTATTAGTTTGTTAATGTTAACCCTAATTGGTTTAAATAAAACCTTATAGATCATTCTATCTAATCCTAACCAACTTGACCATGAAGTGAAATTTCTACAAACTTTTTATAACCCTTTTACTAAAAGGCAGAGTAGCGTTTTAAGACCTCCTTGCTATGCTTTTATTTCAATGCTTAGTTTATGAAAAGACCATATAGATACTATGGGAGAAGACAGTGTAGTGCTTCTACCATGCATTTCATTGCAAGGCAACCCAAAGTCAACTGGCTTATTTTGTAATTAGCCCATCCCTGATGGGAGTCTCATCTCCCAGTGGGGGGTGGGGATGTCTCCTTATTTTTCAGGTGGCCAAGAGCATGCTTTTCTGATTTATAACTATTATTAGCCATCCCTTACAGTGTATTTTTTACCTAGTTATTATACACCAAAGCTCTCTTACAATGCGGAGTAATTTCTGATACCGCAAAACTCAAAACCATCAGATAACACAATGCAAAACAGAACAGAGCTTTTGATTTTGAGAGGGATCTATTTGCTTTTAATTCCTGGGGTTTCATGAGGAAAACAGGGTTTTCCCTAAAACGGGGTCTGTGGCACCTCCTCTGTTTTTCCCAAGGAGTCCCATGCTACCAGAAGTTATCTCAGGGCCTTTAATGCATGCATTAAGAATGGCAAGACAAAAAAAAAAAAAAAAAGGAGAAAAATAATTCAGCCGACTGAGAAGAACCTTCTTCTTCCAGAAAACAAGATCCAAGAAAAGAAAAACATAAAGGCCTTTTAAATATACCTGAAACTTGAATATTCACTTTTAATTAAGCTGAGGGCTCTTTAAGAAAATCTTTTAAAATCCCTTGTTACTTACTTGACTTCAGCCACGCCAAGCAGTTAAGATGTTTGGCTTTTGAACTTTACAAAGAGTAACCTCAGAGGTGAAACCAATGAGCCTTAATTAGGTTATGACTTAACCACCAGTGTACAAGGTATTTTCAAAGGAGTGATAGGTAGCTTTTGAAACTGTCGTTGCAAAATTGTGAGTGAGACAGTGAAAGAGATCCGACCCAAACAACTTCATTTTGTTTCCAGCTCACAAGCTGTCCTTGCCAATCACTGGGCATAGGCTGAACCAACTTTGGGAGGAGTTGGGTTTACAGCCTAGCTCTAAGAGCCGGGGCTTTACAAGAAACTTTTCCGGAGATGCTTTAAAAAACGAAAACTTCCCAAGGACCCCTTTTACTCTCTATCTGCCTAAAATAATTTCTTAATAACTCCTACAACAATACTCGTCTTCCCTGAATAGCACTGTTTTCCACGAGAACCAAAAATGCTGGAGAAGAGCTGACTTTTGATTATCAAATGAAAGGTTCTGGAGATATATCTTCAGATTCTATTGACCATAGCCCAGCCAAAAAGAGGGTCAGAACTGTACGTAAATGTGGAGCTGTGACTTGCAGAGATGAATTTTCAGGAAATAGAGCTGATAATCATTATAATTTTTCCCCCTAAGGTTAACATTTTAAAAAATACGTATTTGGGACTCTTACAATCAAGGTTGTACCTATGTCAATTTACAATTCATGTTTCGAGACATTTGCCAAATGCATTACTGATGCCTCTGAAGAGAGGGTCACTGGGTAACATAGACTGATTTGAAGTCTACCTATTTAGTGCTTAGAGACCAAACATGGAAGGCAAACTATTTACAGCTCAGTATATATGTACTTAAGTCTATGTGAACAGAGAAATGCCTCCCGCAGTGTTTGAAAATGTTAAGCTGATAATGTAACTAACAATTGCTGAAAGAACAAACATTCAACTTGCCATACACCTCAAATTTGGAAAAACAGAGTTAATTTGGGCAAATCTACAAGTTCTGTTTTCGTTACTGTATTGTCGTCGTTTAATACTCACTGTACTTGTAGTTGAGACAAATAAGTGATACTGAATTTTATACTCTATTTTCTTTTTCATTAAAACATTGGCATCTTAGTGATATAGACATTTAAGGTATAAAATTGCAGGGAGCCGAAGGCCCGTGGGACGTGACCAACTTGGCATTCCGCTGGAGGCTATATGATCAGAAAACAAACAGTTTATCATGAATGCAGGATGTGGGCAAACTCACATTGCCCCGCCACCAAAAGGTTTGCTGACGGACATTACTCCCTGGTAATGCCAGGCTCCTTGAAGTTATCTACTGAGAAAATTAGCGCCTATTGTTCAAAGGATGCAGTCTCGCAAGCCTGCTGTGAACCAAACAGCCAACTGACAATTACCTGAAAATCACCCTCCCACCCCCATTTCTATCTCTTTTGCCTAATAAATACGGAGGGCTGTGTAAAGATCAGCGCCCTTGCCCACCAGAGGCAAGGTACCCCCGACCCCTTCTTCCAAATATACTCTTTTGTCTCTTGTCTTTTATTCCCGCGTTTGCCCCGCTTTGTTCAGTCCAATAAGTCAGCGGCATAGTGGCGCCCCAGAACAGGGACTTCGAGGACGTGAATGAAGAAGGTCTGCTGGAGCAGAGGAACTGAATTTGACAAGGCAAACGGGGACCCCGGGACGAGTCTGTCGGCAGTGGATATAAGGTCAGTGCCATAAAGAGGTACTGGGAGCAGTGCTTTAAAGAAGTACTGGGAACGTAAAGTTTTCTGAATCAGGGTAACAAGGGGAAGAATTTGTCTATTAAAGAAAAACATTATGTGCAGTTGCTTAAAGTTCTATTGAGACAGTCTAGAGCTCAGGTTAATTCGCAGACACTAACCTCCTGCAGAAGCCACAAAAGGTTATTACACATAACCCATGGTTTCCACAGGCAGGCACTCTTGATGTGGAAAATTGGGATAGGACAGGAGAAGGATTAAAACAGGCTCATCCAAAAGGTCTTAAAGTTGATTCTTCTGTTTTCTCCCCTTGGAGTTTAATTCGTACTGTACTTCTGCCATTATCTCCTTATTATTTTGCTGGACAGCAGGCTAAGTCTAAAAATCTGAAAGAATCTGTTGTCCCACCTACAGCTCCAATTGAAAATGAAAAACAGGAGAGGGAGGATAAAAATTGGCCTATACCACCTCCTCCAATTGCAGAAACATCTGTACTGCCTCCTTTGGTAGCAGAAATAGCCCAATACAAAGAATTTTACCGTCTTCTGCCATAGCTGGAGAGCCCTTAGGACCTTGCCCTTTTCCTATTTCTGTAAGGCCTGATCCAAATAATCCACAGCAGGTTATTCATGAACACACTCCACTAGAGTTTAAGTTGTTAAAGGAATTAAAAGTGAGGGTGGTAAATAATGGCGTACAAAGCCCATTCACCTTAGGATTGCTAGAAGCTGTGTTTGGTGCTATGCATCTTTTGCCCTTTGATGTGAAACACTTGGCGCGAACTTGCGTGTCTGTGAGTGCATATCTGACATGGAATTTAAATTGACAAAAAGTGTGTGCAAACCAGGCTAGACAGAACCGTGTTGCTGGACACGGAGACATTACAGAGGATATGCTGTTAGGTAATGGCCCTTACTCAGACCTGGAACGTCAACTGCTTATCAGCAGTGTGCACAGGCTGCTAAATAAGCCTGGGCCACAATTCCTGAAGAGGGAGTCCCAGTACAATCCTTTTTACATATCATGCAAGGATCACAGGAACCCTATGTGCAATTTCTTGCAAGATTACAAGAGGCAGTGAAGCATCAGATTCCTCATACCATGGCTAACCTTAACTCTAGCTTTTGAGAATGCAAACATGCACTGGCACCGGGAAGGTGTACAAAAAACTTGGGAAATTTTCTCAGAGCTTGTCAGGATGTAGGAACTGAGCTTCATCGGTCTGCAATGTTAGCGCAAGCAATGGCTAATTTAGCAGTTGACAAATCTAAAAGAAGCCAAGGGTGAAACCCTAAAATGGGAAAATGTTATAATTGTGGAAAGACTGGACATTTTAAAAAGGAATGTTGCCAGATCTCAGGACAGAAAGGACCTTACAATGCTGTTCCCCCCCACCCCCCAACCCCACTGGAAAAAACCCCACTGGAGGACTTTGTCCTCGCTGTAACAAAGGAAATCACTGGACTAATCAGTGCTGCTCAAAATTTCATCAAAATGGCACCGCCCTGCCAGGAAATGAGACAGGGGCCTGAACCCGGGCCCTGAACCCAGGCCCCACAAACAATGAGGGCATTCCCAGTACAGATCTCAACCCCGTTTCAGGAATGGGTTCCCGGAGGCACATTGATTCCCTCACCCCAGAAACACCAGGAAGCGTAGAATTAAATCTACCCACCAGAGGAAAAAATCACATTAGTTGGTGGAGACAAACCTATCAAAGTTCCCACTGGTATTTGGGGACCTTTACCAACAGGATACATGGGACTAATTTTAGGCAAAAGCCATCTTAACTTGCAAGGCATCACTGTAGTCCCAGAAGTGATGGACTCCGATTATGAAGGAGAAATTCAAGTAGTTTTAATGTCACAAAATCTTTGGGGTTTTGAACCAGGAGAATATATTGCTAATTATTGCTTATTCCCTGCAAATTACACCCTTCTCCACAAAAGGAGAAACGAGGAAATAAAGGATTTGGGAGCACAACTATACAGGAAATCTGTCTATCCTAACCCATAGCCTCTAATAGACCCATCTGTGTAGTACAAATTAAAGAAAAGAAATTTTATGGGCTTATGAATACGGGAGCTGATGTATCAGTAATATTTAAAGACAATTGGCCCCCATCCTGGCCCTTACAATTAACTTCTATGTCCCTAGTGGGTATAGGAACAGCTCAAAGTGTTCAACAAAGTGCTGAGATTTTATCTTGTTTTGGTCCAGATGGACAGTCATATACTTTTCAGCCTTATGTTGCAAATATAGCTATCAATTTATGGGGTCGAGACTTACTTACAGCATGGGATATGAAACTTACAAATGAAAACTTTAATAACCCAGGATTTAAAATGTTGAAAGACATGGGATATCAAAAGGAAAAAGGTTTAAGAAAATTTCTACAATGAAATCCTAACCCAATATCAGTAACTGGAAAAACAAATAAAAAAGGGCTAGAATGTCAGGATTTCTGACGGGGATCATGATATTTCTCCTCTGCCCACTGCCTTACCATTAGCATGGCTTAGTGACAAACCTGTGTGGGTGGATCAAAGGCCCCTAACACATAAGACGCTAGATCAACTTCATCTGTTGGTAAAAGAGCAATTAAATGCAGAACATATAGAAAAGTCCCTAAAATTCACCAGTATTTGTTGTTCCAAAAAGGTCCAAAAACAATAATGACCTCTGGGGTTTCTGCTCAACGCTCAAAGCTAATTGCAGTCATTCAGGTTTTACAGCTCACAGCTTCAGATCCTATCAACATTGTCTGTGATTCAGTTTAGGTTATAAATGTAGCCAGTTGCATAAAAACTGCTACAATTAGAAGTACACTAGACCCTGAACTGCTTAATTTATTTTTAAGACTTCAATAAGTTATTTGTTCTCGTACAGCTCCTTTTCATATTTCTCATATTCACTTTTTTTTTTTTTTTTGAGACGGAGTCTCGCTCTGTCGCCCAGGCTGGAGTGCAGTGGCCGGATCTCAGCTCACTGCAAGCTCCGCCTCCCGGGTTCAGGCCATTCTCCTGCCTCAGCCTCCCGAGTAGCTGGGACTACAGGCGCCCGCCACCTCGCACGGCTAGTTTTTTTTGTATTTTTTTAGTAGAGACGGGGGTTTCACCGTGTTAGCCAGGATGGTCTCGATCTCCTGACCTCGTGATCCACCGGTCTCGGCCTCCCAAAGCGCTGGGATTACAGGCTTGAGCCACCGCGCCCGGCCTCTCATATTCACTCTCACATACAACTTCCTGGGCCACTATCTCTAAGTAATGAGAAAGCAGACAAACTAATTGGTTCTGTGTTTCAGCAAGCTCAAGCGTCTCATGCACTTCTGCACCAAAATACTTCCGCCCTTACTCGCATGTTCCATTTATCTCGCAGTCAAGCTAGGGCTATATAATACAAGCCTGTCCTATTTGCCAGCATCTCCCTGGAGCCACACCTGTAGAAGGCTGTAACCCACGAGGTTTGGCTCCCGATGAAATTTGGCAAATGGATGTTACACACATAGCAACCTTTGGCAAGCTTAGCTATGTTCATGTGACTATAGACACTTATTCTCATATGCTGCATGCTACATGCCAAATAGGTGAGACAGCTGGTCATGTACAGCAACATTGTCTGTCATTATTTGCTTATATGGGAATTCCTAAACAATTAAAAACTAACAGTGGACCCGCTTATACTAGTCATGCTTTTCAAAATTTCTTACAGCTTTGGGCTATAACCCATAAAACAGGAATTCCTTATAATCCTAGAGGACAAGGCATAGAGCAGGCACATCAAACATTACAATGCATGTTGAAAAGACAAAAGGGGGCATATGAGGCCAACTACCACCTCAATCAAAACTACATTTAGCCTTATTTACTGTAAATTTATTGACTCCTGGTACGAATGGTAAGACTCCAGCAAAAAGACACTGGCAAGTGTTAGAGGAAGAGGAAAGTTTATCCGAAAGTGTTATGGAAATCCCCAAAAGAAGGACAATGGAAAGGTCTGGTGGATTTACTGATCTGGGGAAGATGGTATGCTTGTGTGTTTACAGGAGATGGACAAACTGTGCATGCAACCATGGAACGGGAGACTAGAGGAACCCAGGATGGCCAACCATGGGCCTGGTCCCTCTGGTACGAGCCATGAGCCAGCTGAGCCTGAGTGCAAAGACGGAGAGAGGGCCGATAAGAGTCACGACACAGCTCTAATGCTACATTTTCTGCAAAATTTGATGGACCACCAATTGGATAATAAGAGCTGCCCAGCCTGGACTTATATTCTTTCCATTAACACATAAACAAAAAGGGGGATATGCAGGGAGCTGAAGGCCCGTGGGATGTAACCAACTCAGCATTTCACTGGAGGCTATATGATCAAACAGCAAACTGTTTATCATGAATGCAGGATGTGGGCAAACTCACACTGTCCTGCCACCAAAAGGTTTGCTGAGGGACATCACTCCCTGATGGCTCTTTGAAGTTACCTACGGAGAAAACTAGCGCCTATTTAAAGGATGTAGTTCAAAGCCTGCTGTTCTCCAAGCAGCTTGTTTTGGCCCCAGCTTGTGCTGGCCCCACTGCCCTGGGTGTGTGTAGTTCAAACGGCCGACTGACACCCGACAATCACACCCCCACCACCCCGCTATTTCGCTCTTTTGCCTAATAAATATGGAGGGCTGTGTAAAGCTCAGGGCCCTTGTCCACTAGAGGCAAGGTACCCCCTGACCCCTTCTTCCAAATATACTCTTTTGTCTCTTGTATTTTATTCCCATGTTCGCCCCCTTCGTTCAGTCCAATAGAGACCAAACGTGGAAGGCAAACTATTTATAGCTCAGTATATATGTGCTTAAGTCTGTGTGAACAGAGAAATGCCTCCCGCAGTTTTGAAAGTGTTAAGCTGATAATGTAACTAACAATTGCAGAGAGAACAAACATTCAGCTTGCCATACACCTCAAATTTGGAGAAATAAAGTTAATTTGGGCAAATCTACAAGTTTTCGTTCCCATATTATCATTGTTGTTTAATACTCACTGTACTTGTAGTTGAGACAAATAGGTGATACTGAATTTTATACTCTATTTTCTTTTTCATTAAAACATTGGCATCTCAGTGATATAGAAATTTGAGGTATAAAATTAAATGTAAAAGTTAATTTCAGCTTCATTATATATATATATTTTTTCTTTTCTTTTCTTTTTTTTTTGAGATGGAGTCTTGCTTTGTCGCCCAGGCTGGAGTGCAGTGGCACTATCTCGGCTCACTGCAAGCTCCGCCCCCTGGGTTCATGCCATTCTCCTGCCTCAGCCTCCCAAGTAGCTGACACTACAGGCGCCTGCCACCATGCCCAGCTAATTTTTTGTATTTTTAGTAGAGATGGGGTTTTGCTGTGTTAACCAGGATGGTCTCGATCTCCTGACCTCGTGATCCACCCGCTTCGGCCTCCCAAAGTGGTGGGATTACAGGCGTGAGCCTCTGCGTCCGGCCTCATTTCATATTTTGAAGCAATCTAGACTGTTGTAATGAATGTATGTCTGAACCTATAAGTCTTAAAGATCTCTTAATCTTCTAGAAGAAAAAATCTCCAAAGATCTCGCTCTTTGTCCAGAATAGCTGACCATTATGCTTCTTTGAAAGGACAGGGCAGCAGGGCCAGCATGGTTTTTGGAGCACCAAGCAATGGAAATGGAGCACTTTAAGGGTGCCTCTTAGTAACATGAATTAGGAAATCTGTGTTGAGTACCTCGGTCTAAACAGTAAAACAAGCTGCCTGGAGAACGGCTGTACCTAATGACACTATAATGTACATTAGGCAGGCTGATCTCGAACTCTTGAGCTCAAATGATCTGCCTGCCTCGGCCTCCTCAATTACAGGCAGGTGTAACAGTTCCTTTCTACCAGATTTAATTATTTTCATATTTCCTGCAGGTTCTTCTTAAAAAGTAAACTATATTTTTGAACTGAAACTTGTTTTATACATGAATTTTTTTTAGATGTGATAAGGCTAAACTTGGCCAAAGTGTGTGCCTGAATTATGAGACTTTTTTATTAGTCGACCTGTGAAGGCTGAAATGGAATATATTGGTTTTCAAGGGGGTGGGGGTGGGGTTCCGGCATAGTATTGAATCTCAGGAGAAACTATGCTTTCATCTCTGATTCTGGGATTTCTAATCGTGTTGTCCACAATGAAGATAAATGCAGCAAATAAATCTAGCTTTCAGTATTCCTTAATAAGTTTTACCTAAGCTCATTGCTCTAGGTTTTGATTACCTAAAATAAGCTTGGGTAAAACTGAACCGACTTCAAGAATGCAGCACTTCTCAATCTTTAGCTCTTTCTTGGGAGAACTATACTTTATTGTTCATTATATTGCTATCACAACTTTGCTCTTTCATAATACAGGATAAACTGTTTACACGTTTGGAGCCTCAGAGTCTGTTAACCAAGACTGCAGAGTGTGTCAAGGAAAAATACACTTTCTTAATGGCATTTGTGTTTTCTTTGTGAAAAGTCAGTCACATAGTGTCAGTATTAAGAAAGGTTCAAAGGTTTATAGGTTGCCCCCAATGGCCATACTTTGAATTATGATTCTCATGGGTTTAAAGATGTAATTTTTTAAAGTCAGTGTTTTACCACCTAGTTATTTGATCTTGTCCAATTTTGTGTTTTTAAAAAGTGTAAAACTGGAAGGCAAAGAAAAAATACTATTTTCAGTAAATACGTTGTTTGGTCGTTATTAATAGAATGTAATGGGCCTTTGAGATCTTAAGTACTTATGTTACCTTTGTTATTCAAACGCTGAACTTAAGCAGTGAAATAATAGAAACTATTTGAAGGAAGTTATTAAGGGGTTTAACTATTTTAAGTCAATATTTAGCTTATTCATATTGGTTTCCTGAAGATGTCAGAATTTGTTTTCAGTGTAAGACAAATATTCAAAGGTAACAGATCAAGTTTAAAATGTAAATCCACTGTACGTATTATATTGATACCATCATTTTCAGGATGTACATAAGAGGATTGTGATACACAATTAGTAATCTCAGGGTTTTTCCCCATATATCTAAAATTTAGACTGTACTTATTTCTCTTTTAGTTCATCAATTTCTCTTAGCAAAATAAATTTAGTTTGGTATTTGATGTTCTATTAAAAAAAATATTTCCAGGCTTGAGCCAGCTTAGAGACCTAGAATACCTTGAATGAAGGGGAGACTGAGTCTTCCTTGAGTAAGAATCCCAGAAAACTATCTAAAATCTATGCTGTATCTTTCAGCCTTCACCAAAGGGTACCTACAGCCTTTAACTAGGATAACTGCATTGAGGAAAAGGAAATAATCAGACCTTTTGGAAATTACTGGAGACAGGCTTTGACATTTACTCCAGGAGACCCAAAATATCACTGTGATCACGTCAGAATAGTGGCTTATGGAGGTTACAGTATGAATGGAATTTTAGCTCATGTCCATATCACAGTGGACCAAGTGGATACCCAATCCCGTGCTGTGGTTACTTCCCCAGTTCTAAAATGTGTAATTGAAACAGATATACTCAGCAGCTGACAATCCCACACTGGTTGTCTGACCTGTGGCGTGAGGGCTATTGTGGTGAGAAAGGTCAAGTGGAAGTCAATAGAACTGCCTCTACTTAGGAAAATAATATATCAAAAGCAATACTAGGTTCCTAGGGGACTGCAGAAATTAGTGCCAACATTAAGGACTTGAAAGATACAGGTGTGGTTGACAGAGCAGGAGTACTGCCATCTTGAACAAGCACTGTCATTTTAAAATTCACCTTAATAAAAAACTGCCTAAATCCAAAGGGCATCAGTGTAATGGCTAAGGTCAGCACGACCGTAAACCACAAACAACATCTCCAACCAGAAACACCCCGAACTCCTTCCCAACCAGAGACATGCTAGCCCTCAGATAAACCCCCTCTGGGTGGGAAGATGCCAGCCTCGAGA